GAGAGAGAGAGAGAGAGAGAAGCATCAGTGTGAGAGAACCATCGATTGGCTACCCCCTGCATGGCCCCAACCAGGGATCGAACCCACAACCTAGGTATGTGCTCTGACTGGGAATCGAATCCACAACCCTTTGGTGTACAGGACAATGTTCCAATCAACCGAGACACCCAGCCAGGGCTGTTATTTCTATTTCTTGTGTAATTGCTATTCTCATGACCTCTAGTATAATGTTCAATTGTCTGGCAAGGGTGGACATCTGTGTCTTGTTCCTGATCTTAGATGGATAAGTTTTCAGTCTTTCATCATTAAGTATGTTGTTAGCTATGGGTTTTTGATAGGTTCAGGAAGTTCCCTTCAATTTTTTTTTATTGAGTGTTTTTCTCTTATTAAAGGGTCTTTTTGTGGTCAGAATCTTTTTCTGCATCTATTGAGACGGCAATATGGTTTTTATCTTTTATTTTATTAACTAGAGTCCCTATGCACAAAATTCGTGCAAAGGGCTCTGCCTCACGGCCCCGCAACCCCACCCCCCACCCACTGATCATTCCAGAAGGACCGGTCTAATAGCATATTAGAGACGGCAATATGGTTTTTATCTTTTATTTTATTAACTAGAGTCCCTATGCACAAAATTCGTGCAAAGGGCTCTGCCTCACGGCCCCGCAACCCCACCCCCCACCCACTGATCATTCCAGAAGGACCGGTCTAATTAGCATATTAGCTCTTTATTATATAGGATGTCCTGCATTACTTTGACTGGTTTTTGTATGTTGAACTAACCTTGCATTTCTTGAATGAATCCCAGATGGTCATGTTGGATAATCCTTTTTATATATTGTTGGATTCAGTTTGTTAGTTTTTTGTTGAGGATTTTTACATCTGTATGCTTAAGACATATTAATTGGTCTATAGTTTTTTGTGTGTGTGATATCTTTGTTTGGTTTTGATATCAGGGTAATACTGGCCTTAGAATGAATAGGGAAGTATCCTTTTTTTTTTCTTTTCAATTTTTTGGTAGAGTCTGTGAAGGATTGTGTTAATTCTTTAAATGTTTGATAAAATTCACTAGTGAAGCCATCTAGTCTTGGACTTTTTCTTGTGGGAAGATTTTCACTTATTAACACAATATCTTTGTTTATTTTAGGTATATGCAATATTTTTACTTCTTGTTGGCTAAATTTTGAGTTCGTATCTTCCTAGGAATTAATCCTTTTCACCTAGTTATCTAATTTTTTGGCAAACAATTGTTCATAGTATTTATTTATAATCCTTTTTATTTTTGTAAGGTTGGTAGTTTTATTTCTGATTTTAGTAATTTAATTTAAGTCTCCTTTTTCATGTTCAATCTAATAAAGATTTGTCACAAGAACCATCTTTTGGTTTCATTGTTTTTTATCTATTGTTTTCTATTCTGTTTCATTTACTTTTTCTCTAATATTTATTTCTTCCTTCTGCTTGCTTTGGGTTTAGTTTGCTCTTCTCTGATTTCTTAAGGTGGAAGGTTAGGTTATTAATTTGAGATATTTCTTCCTATTTAATATTGGTGTTCACCAGTATAAGTTTTTCTAATTAGTGCTTTTGCTGCCTCTCATAAGTTTTGGTATGTTATGTTTTCATTTTCAGTCTAAAAGTATTTCCTAATTTTCCTTGTGATTTCTTGGCTGTTTAGAATTGTTTGATTTTCACAAACTTGTGAATTTCTTATGTTTCTGTATTGTCTTCAGTTTCTTACCCTTGCTGTCATAGAACATACCTTGTATGATTTCAGTTCTTTTAAATTTTGAGACTTGTTCTTCTGGCTTTACAGTCAATCTCTCCTGGAGAATGTTCTATGTGTGATTTAAAATAATGCATTTTCTATTTTATAAATTGTTTTATAGGGTTGTTAACATCTTCTATTTTCTTTGCAATCTTCTGTCTTATTATTTAATCCTGTACAGAAAATAGTATATTGAAATCTCCAGCTGTTATTGTTTAATTGTCTAATTCCCCCTTCATTTTTGTTAATTTTTTGTTTCTTGCATTTTGGGGCTCAGCTGTTAGATACATATGTATATAATTGTTACATATTGTCTTTAGTAAAAAATTTTGTTTTTAAGGCCATTTTGTCCGATGTAAGTACTAGTATAGCCAGTAGAACTCTCTTTTGGTTACTCTTTACATGGTATATATTTTTTCATCCTTTCACTTTCAATCTATCTACGTCTTTGAATTTAAAAGTGTCTCTTGCATATTGCATATAATTGGATCATGTTTTTTAAAAAATCTAACACAATATCTGCCTTTAAATTGGGATGTTTAATCCATTTACATTTATTGCAATTCTAATAAGGTGGGATTTATTCCTGCCATTTTGCTATTTGGTTTCTTTGTCAATTTTTAAAAAAAATTTCTATTCTTCATTACTGCCTTATTTTGTGTTAAATAGTTTCTAGTGTGCATTTTAAATTCCCTAGTCATTTATTTTATTATTTTTTTCTTATTTTCTCAGGTTTGCATGGGGCTTCTTACTATTAACAACTTATAACAATTTAGTTTGGATTCCTACCAATTTAATTTCAATAATATATAACAACTTTGCTTATGTATATCTTGATTTTCTCCCTGTCCCTTGTGCTCTTATTGTCTTACAAAGTACATCTTTATATATTCTGTGCACATCAACTCAGATTTATAAATATTGTCTCTTGCAGTTATCTTATTTCAGGTAGGATAAAATAGTTACAAACAAACATTACACTTATATTATCTTTTATAATTACTTCTATACTTACCTTTACTGGTGCTCTATTTATTCACCTGGATTCGAGGTATTAGCTAGCAGTCTTTCATTTTAGCCTATAGGCATCATTTTAGTATTTCCTGTGGGGCAAGTTTTCTTGTAACATAGTCTGTCAGTTTTTGTTATCTGAAAATGTCTTAATTTCTCCTTTGCTTTTTCCTCCTCTCCTTTGCTCTTGAAGGATAATTTTGCTGGATGTAGAAATCTTGATAGTCTTTTTCTTTTATAATTTTTATCTCTTCAAATATTTGTTGTATCCCTTTCTCTTCTCCTTCTGAGAGTTTCTTTATGCATGGTATGCATAATGGTATGCTTGATGGTGTCTCATAGGTCTATGAGGCTCTGTTCTTTTTCTCTTTTAAAAGGAAGACTTTATTCATGGGGAGTATTATAATGGAGTTTTGTAGATGGGGAGAGAGAGTAGGCTCAACTGATGCTCTGTTCATTTTTCTTCCTACTTTTTAATTTCTGTTCCTTAGACTGGAAAATTTCAGTTGACCTATCTTCAAGTTCACGAATTCTTTCTTGTCTGCTCAAATATGCTTCTTAATTCCCTTAATGGATTTGTCATTTCAGTTACTGAACTTTTTAGCTCCAGGATTTTTATTTGGGTTCTTTTTATAATTTCTATCTCTATGAATAGTCTCTATTTTGTGAGAAATAAAAGTCATATTTTCCTTTAATCCTTTAGACATGGTTTCCTTTAGTCCTTTGAACATATTTAATATAGGTTATATATAGTCTTTGTCTTATAAGTCCACTAGAGGCCCAGTGCACAAATTTTGTGCACTGGGGAAGGGCGTTCTGGGAGCCCTCGGAGGATGTTCGACTGTTGGCTTAGGCTCGCTCCCCGGGGAGCGGGCCTAAGCCAGCAGTTGGACATCCCTCTTGCAGTCCAGGACCCCTCGCTCCTCACCTGATCACTGCTCCTTGCCGCTTGGCTCACTGCTCCTTAGTGCTTCCACGGAGGCGGGAAAGGCTCCCGCCACTGCTGCTGCACTCGCCAGCCATGAGCCCGGCTTCTGGCTGAGTGGTGCTACCCCTGTGGAAGCTCACTGACCACCAGGGGGCAGCTCCTGTGTTGAGCATCTGTCCCCTAGTGTCAGTGTGCATCATAGCGACCGGTCGTTCTGGTCGTTCTGTTGTAAAGGTCGCTTAGGCTTTTATTATTTAGATTATTAGAGCTTCCTCAGGGAAACTTTTTATTGCTTGCTTTTTTTTCTGTGTATGGGTCATACTCTTATTTTTTGTGTGTTTCATAATAATTTGTTGAAAAAAAATTTAAATAATATAGTGGTAACTCTGAAAATCCAATTCTTCTCTCCCCTTGAATTT